GCCGCCCTCCCGGGCCGCTCCTGACACCTAGCGGGCGCCGCGCCCGCGCCCGGCCGGACGCCCAGGTGCCTGTCGGTGCGCACCTTCGCCCTCCTCCGGCCTTGAGAGCGCTCGTGGGGAGAGGTGGCGGCCCGAGAGAGGGTCGCAGAGGCGGCCCCCGGTGTCCAGTCGCCCTTCGCGAGAGGCCGCTACCCGGAGCACGGGAAGATCCTCGGGGAGACCCAAAGAGAAGGGCCGCGGGGGGCTTAGGCGGAGAGGAGGAAGTGGGGGAAGGGACCCGAGCAGGCCTGGGGCCACCCCTCATTCCTGTGCGCTCCCGCAGATCCGCGCCCCGGACCCGCGCTGCCGCGCTCCCCGCCATGGCCGGCGCTCCGACCACGCCTTCTCCTGCAGGTAGGTGAAGGCTTCCCCAACTCAGTGCGAGAGAACTGTCCCACCCGCCACCCCAAAACCAGACTGGAATTCCCTGAGGCCCCGGCCGTCCTCCTCCTTCCTGGCTGCCACCCTGAGGGGTCCTGGGAGCGGGCAGCAGATACGGGTGTCCTTTAGCGCGGGCGTGTGCTCAGTCTGGTGGGCCAGGGCCGTTCCGGCACTGGCAGTGACAGCTTTGTAACCGTGGCTCATAAAGTGCTTTTGTGAGTGGAAGGGAGCAGCTTTACATTCCACCCTCTAATAATTCACAGCCGAGGCAAAGAGGGTGGCAGTAACCCCACAGTTAAATGTGGAAAAGGGATCTGCCAACGATAACAGGGAAGCAGAAGAATAGCAAAGCCAGCCAGGATGGTGGGGCAGGCAAGTAGTCCCAGGTGCTTCGGAGGTTGGTGGGGATCTCCTGAGCTTGGGAGTTATAAACCCTGTGGGGGGGGTGGGCAGCAAAACACGCTAAAGGTAATACTGTCTGGCTAGCCTCTGAGTTCGTTTCCTGGGTTGTAAAATAGGAAAATGGTGCCTATCTTATGAGGCTGTTTGAGAGGACTAAACAAGACAATCCATGTTAAAACACCTAGAACGATGTCTAGCATCTAGAAAACACTAGTACACTGGTTCTTGCTGAGTGTTAGAAACCCACCCTTCCCTGGAAAGGGACTCTGCTTTCTAATTCCACTTCTCTGATGATTCAGAGCCAGTATCAAAACCCCATTGTCGGGAAGCATTCGGGGTCAGGGATCCACCTCGTCCTACTGAGAGTGCTTCTCACCTTTCATCTCATATCTGACTCACTACCAGATATTTACATATTATTTCAACATGTGCTGGATAGGGTAAGGGAGGAACAAATCCTTGATTGGCCTGTATTCCTTTGTTTTCGTATACATGGTCTCATTTGTCAGAACCAAAATTTCTGCTTTTATTGATATGGACACGTGTGTGACAATCCCAGGGAAAGTCTCAGACAAGACCTCCTGTGACTGGTGATGCATATAGTTCAGGTTTTTCTCTGGCAGGAAGAGATAGGAAAAAGGAGAAATGGGCAGAAGTCTAGATTGGTCCTCAAAGGCCTTCCAAGTGGAGAAGGAGTCTGAGACTCCTGGGAAAGTGGGTAAAGTGGGCACAGGCGAGGAGGGCTGCAGCAGAGGGGAGGGGAGCAGTGCAGTGTGAAGCTGCAGAGACTGGCTTTCTGGGGTGGTGGGGATGTCCGGTCGAAGGCGAAGCATTTCCAAAATAAACCTCCCCACAGGGAGAAAGAGGTGAAACTTGGGCAGTGAGCGGGCTTAGGGGTTAGGAAACTATTTACATTCTTTTTTCTTTCTTCCTTTTTAAAAATTTGTGGTAAAATACTCGTACTACAAGAATTAGTATTTGAACATTTTTTGGTGTACAGTTCAGTGGTATTAAGTTCATTCACATTCTTGTACTGTACTATCATCACCACCGTCCATCTCCAGAACGTTTTATTTTCCCCAAACTGAAACTCCATACTCATTGGACACCAACTCCTCCTTCCATTCTCCTCCAGGGCCCTGGCAACCACCATTCTACTACCTCTATGAATTTAACTATTTCATGCACCTTATATAAATAGAACTGGGCCAGGATATAGTTCTCAGGAATAGCTTTCTTCTTAGTGCTGTGAAAATCCTGCTGACCATTTCCCATGGAGGAGTTCTATAACTTCACTGCACCGCTTGAGGAAGGAGTAGAATGGTTCCTGAGAAGCTGAGAATAAGGCTGGGGTCTTGAGAGGCTGTAGGGCTGCCCTTCTTATTTTGTTTTGATTTGATTTGATTTTTGAGACAGGGTCTTACTATGTAGTTCAGGCTGGCCTTGAACTCACTCTGTTGCCCAGGCCACTAACGCACAGTGATTCTCCTGCTTCGGTCTCCCAAGTGCTGGAATACAGATGTGCACCACCACGCCCAGCCTCAGGGCTGCCTTTTTTTTTTTTTTTTTTTTTCTTTTTTGTCTTTTTGAGGCAGGCAGGGTCTTGCTAGGCAGCTCAGGCTGGCCTTGAGCTCACTGTGTAGCCCAGGCTGGTCTGGAACTCACAACGATCTTCCTGCCTCAGCCTCCCAAGTGCTGGGATTACAGGCATGCGCCACCATGCCAGGCAGGGCTGCCCTTCTTGTTTCCCTGTCAGCCTTTTGATTTTCCAAGAAGATATGGTGGAGTGGAAGATATCCAGGAGTGGAACTGCTGATTATGCGGTAATTCCATGTTTAATTATTTTTGAAGAACCACTGTACTGTTGGTTTTTCATAGCACCTGCACCACTGGACGTTCCCACCAGTGATAAACAAAAGTTTCACTTTCTCCACACCCTTGCCAACACTTACTGTTCTCTGGAATTTTTGGTTTTTAGTAGTAACCACCCTAATGGGTATGAAATGGTATCGTACTGTTGTTTTAACTTGCATTTTCCTAATGACTAGTGATACTGAGCATCTGGATATCTTTGGAGAAGGGTCTGTGTTAAATCCTTGCCCATATTTTACTTGGGTTGTTAAGTCATTGTTGCTGTAGAGTTGTATATTAACATTCTTGATCCAACAAGTGAAATGCATAGAGTGGTATTAAGGGCATATTGGCCAGGCGTAGTGGTGCAGGCCTGTAATCCCAGCACTCAGAAGGCTGAGGCAGGAGGATCCTTGGGAATCTGAGACCAGCGTGAACTACAAAGTGAGCTCAAGGCCAACCTGAACTGCATGGCAAGACCCTGTCTCAAAAGGACAAAACAAAGGACCTATCATCTAGTCCCCTGCCCATTGGGTTCCAGCAAATGTGCGTTTCAGGACAGGAATGGAGAAAAGAATAGCAATGACACAGAGAAGAGAGCTTTTTCATTGAAAAAGAGGATCATTGAGGGTCCCGCCCTTTCCTGGACACCATCTTGCGCTTGCCTCCCCCAGCTTCCACCTATGTCCCCTTCCTATCCCTTTTCCCCAGGGAGCAGAGATCTTAAGGAAAGATCTTTCAGGAGTACTGAAAATGACAGCTGTATTACGACTTTACTAGACCCAGGCACTTTTGCCTCTGTGGGTTCCTTCCTCTATTTAAAATAAAAGATGTTAAAGCCAGGCATGGGGGGCTGGGGATTTAGCTCAGCGGCAAAGCGCCTGCCTGGCAAGTGCAAGGTCGTGAGTTCTGTTCCCGGTGCCGGAGAAAAACAAAAAAACAACAACAACAAAAAAAAAGCCGGGCATGGTGGTGCATGCCTGTAATCCCAGCACTGGGGAGGCTGAGGCAGGAGGATTGTTGCGAGTTCGAGACCAGCCTGGGCTACAAAGTGAGCTCAAGGCCAGCCTGAACTGCATAGCGAGAGCCTGTCTCGAAAAGACAAAAAAAAAAAAAGTTAAAAATTGTACTTTACAACTGCATTAGTGTAAGAAAGACTATAATACCAATATAATAATGTATTTATAATTAATATAATATGTATTTGAGCCAGGCATGGTGGTGCACACCTGTAATCCCAGCACTTGGGAGGCTGAGGCAGGAGTATTGCCGTTAGTTCGAAGCCAGCCTGGGCTACAGAGTGATTTCAAGTCATGGCTGAACTACATAGCGAGATGCTGCCTCAAAAAAAAAGAAGACCTAAAGTCTTTCTTATTTAAAGGATATTAAAATCGTTAAAATGAAATCATTAAAAACATTTTCATGGACCCTTAAAAGTACTGTGAGCACTAGGTACTTGCCCCTAGTACAGAATTCAGGCCTGTTGGAAATAGGGCAAAGTGGAACTTGCCTTATAGCCACTGCCCACCCTGCCACCTAAAGCCAATCTCCTACCAGCAAATAATCACACTAGCTACTTCCCAGGTTGTCTCACCATGTATTAGATGCTTAGCATTTTTCATCCTGTTTATTCCTTACCACTGTCCTTTGTAGCAGGTTTTATTCTCACTTGAATGAAGCAAAAGCTGAGTCTCAGGAAGTTAACAAATTTTCACTAATTAAAAGAATTTCCCACTGGGCATGGTGGTGCATGCTTGTACAGTAATCCCAACACTGGGAGGCTTAGGCAGGAGGGTCACCATAAATTCTGGGCCAGCCTGGGCTACATGGCCAGATTTTGTCTCAAAAAAAAAAAAAACAAAAACAAAAAAACAAGAATTTCCCAAGGTGGTGTGGCTAATCATGGCAGAGACAGGGTTTGTGCCAAATCCAGCTTATTCCCAAGCCTGTGTTTTTTCAGTCATGGTCTACTGCCCCCAAGGTCTCACTGTACCCTCCTGGCCAGGGCAGCACACATGAAAGGGAAGGAGAAAGGAGCAGAACTCTCGGGCGGGTTCCCACAGAACACAACTGGGGAGCCGCCCCTTGCTGGTAAGGTCTAGAGCAAATAAGTAGGCTGGCAGCCTCCAGGGGCAGCGGATCTGATGCCTTGGTGATAAGCGATTTAGCTCCACCTGGGAATAAGGGCCACAAAGAAACCAGCCAGTAGGATCTGGGTCAACACGAAGGGTGAGTGAGCAGAATAAATTGTGAAGGTCATTTGCTGTTGGTTAGGATTTGGGTGGAACCTTAATCTTGTGGTCTTCTGCCTTGGCCTCCCACCCACAATAAAAATGGTATAGTCTTTCCAGACTTGAGGGAAGATAGAGGGTAATGGTATTTCCTTGTTTGGACAAGATGACCGCAAAGAACAGGGGTAGGAATGGGAGAGATGGGGGGAAGTTGTTGTCCTTTCTGTGCCCTCACCCTCACTCTTTTTTTTGTTTGTTTTTTTGGGTTTTTTTTCCGGTACCAGGAATTGAACTCATGACCTTGTGCTAACCAGGCAGGCGCTGTGCCACTCAGCTAAATCCCCAGCGCCCCCCGCCTTTTTTTTAAGGTCCTAGAGATCAAACCTTCAGCCTTGCACATGCTAAGTCTACCACTGAACTCTACCTCTAGCTCAGTGCCTTCCTTTTCATGCCAGGCTTCCTGAACTTAGCTTACTGTAGTGATGGTGT